AAAAAAAAAAAAATTTGTAGAGATGGGGTCTCACTATATTGCCCAGGCTGGTCTCAAACTCCTGGGCTCTAGCAATCCTCCCATCTTGACCTCCCAAAGTGCTAGAATTACAGACATGTGTCACCAACCCCAGGTTTTTCTTTTTTTGTTATGAAATGTTTTATACATACAACGTTTTGTAAATCTTCATTTAAGGATGATTTCCTCAATTCCTTCTTTTTGTTTCATTCCTAATAGTTCCTCCCCAGGGACCCTTGCAAGAGCGAGAGTTCCTTCCTGCCTTTTCTCTTAAGACTCATACCCTCAGGACGTAGAGAGAGCTTTTGCTCCATCTCGGAACCCAAGAGACTTCATGGCCTGCGTTACCTCCTCTGAAAGTGTTCAAATTCAGCCTGTCTCCTCACGTTCACCGCTGGCAGGTCGCTCTGGCTATAGGCATCCTGAAAGTTGTAACTTCCCTGCTCTTGGTTGGCTTCACATTTGCACTGATTTTTCGGGAACAGCCTGAAACAAGCAAGAGGACTGTAAACATGGATTGGGAGGGTAGGCTGGTGGGTGAGAGGAAACCTGACTTCTCATCCAATGTGCAGTTTACCCTGAAAATCTTCTTTCCTACAGCCAACAATTCTGAGATGAGACCCTAGATTCCCCTGCAGTGGCCCCTCACAGAGACAAAGGGAGGGACGGAAGCAGGGACACAGGAAGGCTGAAGACTCCTCCTCTCTTGCATTATCCCCTGCACCTAACTTCTTTAAATCTGAGATCACATGACTGTCTGCTGTACCTCACCCCACCAAAAAAGGAGGGCAGAGGGACAGCGAAGCAGCATCTTTGCTGCAGTTTTGGTCAAAAAACTACAGGCTCTCCAACGTTTTAAGGGGTTTTGCTGGCTGCTATAGAGAACATAGACTGTGCTCTGTAGACCAATCCCTTTCCTGGCTTGCAGTCACCTGTGCATTCAGCACAGGTTTAGGAAAGCAAGGGTACCATCTGTAAAATGGGCACAGTAGGGCACAGTACCCCAGAGGAGGAGCAAGGAAGATGTGTGCCCTGAGGTGAAAGACAGAACACTAGTCTCTCACCAGATTCCATCGTAGGTAAAGAGGTTCCTGAGATGTTCTTCCGGCAGAAGCTTCAGCTCCTGGACACCCTGAGCAGGACTTGTGAGCTCTGGCTTGAGGCTGCTAAACACTGCTTGAAGGGACACACCTCTGAGCATAAATCCAACAACGCTAAATCCCAAGATTAGGACCGATATCTTGAGGAGCTGCAGAAATCTCAAGCTGTTGGGACACAAAAGAACCAATTATGTTGAAATCTTTTTTCTTGATTATATGATGTTGTGTTGTTAATTTGAAGCAGATTTCTGCTTTCATTATGTTTTCTGACTTGTTGGCTTATAGAAACCTGTGTAGGGTAGTGGTTAAAAGTGTGGTGGTTTGGAATTCTGCATCCGTCATTACCGACAGAGCAGGTTACTCCTCCTATTTAAGCTTCAGCTATCTTGTCTGTTAATTGGGTGGAGTAATAAAACTTCTCTTGGCCAGGCGTGGTGGTTCGCACCTATAATCACAGCACTTTGGGAGCAAATACTTTTTCTTGATTATAGAATATATATGAGACTGTTAACTTCAGGAAAAATGTAAGCTAAGCATATAGCTTATATTGGTCACTAAAATTGATTTCTGATAAACAGACGAAGAAGGAATCAAGTTGCAACAAAGGGATTCAGAAAAATGACAAATAAAAGGATAGGCAAAAACATCCGGGTAATGTTAATGTCAGCATAGCTAAATTCAAAGCAATAAGAAAGAGTATGAAATAGGACAGAAACACCACTTATAGTGATCAAATGCATGACACCAAAACGATGGCTGTGAACTTTATCCACTAATAATAACATTAAAGAATACAAAGCAGAAAAAAGGCAAGATATGAAAGAAGGATTAGAAATACAAAGATAAGCCGGGCGCGGTGGCTCAAGCCTGTAATCCCAGCACTTTGGGAGGCTGAGGCGGGTGGATCACGAGGTCAAGAGATCGAGACCATCCTGTGTCAACATGGTGAAACCCCGTCTCTACTAAAAATACAAAACATTAGTTGGGCATGGTGGCGCGTGCCTGTAATCCCAGCTACTCAGGAGGTTGAGGCAGGAGAATTGCCTGAACCCAGGAGGCGGAGGTTGCGGTGAGCCGAGATCGCGCCATTGCACTCCAG